TTTTGCTTGTGGTGGTCCAGTTTTCCCAGCACCATTTATTGGACAAACTGTCTGTGTTCCATTACATATTCTTTGCTCCTTTGTCAAAGATCAGTTGTCCATATAAGTGTGGTTTTATTTCTGGGCTCTCTATTCAGTTCTATTGGTCTGTGTGTCTGTTTTTGTTCCAATACCAAACTGTTTTAATTATTATGGCTTTGTAGTATAGCTTGAAGTTTGGAAGTGTGATACCTCCTTTCTCCTTTGTTTTCATCAGTAGGGCTTTGGCTATTCATGTTTTTTTTTTGTGTGTGTGTGTGGTTCCATATGAATTTCATCAGTATATGTTCTATTTCTTTGAAGAATGTCATTGAGATTTTTATTGGAATAGCGGTGAACACCTGTACACCTGTGTTTATTGCAGCACTATTTACAATAGGCAAAACCTGGAAATGACCCAAATGCCCAAAAATAGATGACTGGATCAAGAAGATGTGGCATATATACACAATGGAATATTATTCAGCAATCAAAAAAGATAAACTCATGCCATTTGCAGCAACGTGGATGGAACTAGAAGGAATTATGCTCAATGAAATAAGCCAGAAGGAAAAAGAAAAATATCGTTTGTTTTCACTTGTAGCAGGACTATATGGGAACCTAATAAGACATCAGTGTAAAAAAAAAAAGTACAAAACACAACAAAGCAAAAATGGACAATTATAAATCAGAGGCATACTGCAGGGGAGGATGAGGGAGAGGGAACAGAGAGAGGAAGGGAGGAGTACAGGGGGTTGGTGATGGTGGTGGTGCATGGGTGCATTGGTAAAGGAAACTGTGGAGACTATACCTGAGGGGGTAGAGGGAAGCAAATATTGCTTAAAAATGAACAATAATGTAAAAAATAAAAAAAAATAAAAATAAACAATCTGAACCACAAGATTAAAAAATATAAATAGAAAGACATGTAATTATAATGATAATGAATTCATTTGAATTGATTTTGATAACAGCTTGACATATAGTTCACATATTATAAAATTTACTCTTCCAAGTTGTACATTTCCATGTTTTTTTAGTCTATTTAGAGTCATATAGCCATTATCACACTCTAATTTTAGAAAATTCTGTTGTTTCAAAAAAAACCCTTAGCTACATTATCAGGCATACTCTTCATCCCACAGCCTCCATTCCTTAGTAACCATAATTACTTTTTATCTCCATTTATTTTTCTAATATGGACATTTCATGTAAGTGGGATTATATAGCATGTGATCTTTTGTTAGTGGCTTCTTTTTCACTTGGAATGTTTTCAAGTTTCCTCTAGTTCGTACCAAGTATCAGTAGTTCACTCTTTTTATAGCAAATTAAATTTTCGTTGTAGAGAAATACCACATATTTTTACCCTTTCAGCAGGGAAGGGGTATTTAGGTTGTTTCAGTTTTGTGCTTTTATGTATAATGTCTAATTCACTGGTCAAAATATTTATCCATTAACACACTGTCTTGATTATTGTCACTTTGCAGTAAGATTTGAAATAGGATAAGGGCGTTTTCCAATTCGTTTTTATCCAGATTCTTTTGACTGATCTGGGTCTCTTGAATTTTACTGGAAATTATCAGAACGCTTTATCAACTTCTGAGAAATTGTCATGGGAATTTTGTTAAATCTTCAGATGAATTTGGAGATTATCGCTATTTTAACAATTTTCTTACTATCTATGACTTGGATGCTTTTCTATTCATTTGGTTATTTAAATTCTCAACGAGAATTTGTGGTTGTAAGTGAACAGTCTTTGAGCTTTGTTAACTATAATTTTAAGCATTTTGTTCTTTCTAATGACTATTTATGAATTTTTTTTTTTTTTAAACTAGTTTTTTTTTAAAGATTTATTTATTTATTTATTTATTTATTTATTTATTTATTTATTTATTTATTTTATACAAGCACTGGGTACAGTCAGAAGGCGGGAGGGTGAGAGAATTTACACTGCTGAGGGGAGCCAGGAGAGGTCTGCGCGCCATGTGGGACCCTCTGGGGAGCAGCCGGGGATCGAACCGGCTCTGCAGAGGCTGAGCTTCATCAACCGCTTATTTATGAATTTTTAATTCCTGGTATGGAAAAATATAATTGATTTCTATATTTTGAATGTGTAGTCAACAACATTGCTGGGCTAATTTATTAGCTCAAGTAATTGTTGCTGTGTTTTACTTTTTTTTTTAGCATGTATGACTATAAGAAAAGGCCATTAATTTATTTCCTGAGTAATAATAAGCACCTAAATTCATGAAATCACCACTAAAACCAAGATTCAAACAACTGAAATTGCCTTGACCTCTGAAAAATATTTCTGAAAAAGTCACTTAAATTAATATTTGTTTAGATTTTAATGTTCCTTCATAAAATTACATTGTAACTAATATATATATGTACACTGTATATATGTCAATAGCATTAGCATTCATGTCACAATATACTTTATTTTATAACAACTGCTTTAATACAAATTTCAGAACCACTAATTCATTTTGTTTGTTTCCCAAAGATTTATTTATGCATTCGAGAGCTGGGGCACAGGCCAGAGATGGGGGGGTGGAGGGGACGTGGCGTGAGAGGATCCACCAGAGACAGTGGGAAACAGAACATGCAGAGTGACTGAAATACACTGCTGAGGGGAGCAGCGGGCGAGACAGGAGACGTCTGCCTCGCCATGTGGGTTTCTCCCTGGCAGGCCAGGGATTGAACTCGTGCTGCAGAGGCTGCAGATTGCTTCATAGTGCAGTGCGTAACCCCTTGCACCACGAAGGAGGCCCACCACTATTTCTTAAGAATTTTTTTTTTTATGTGGGCCTCCCTGGTGGTGCAGCAGTTGAGCGCTGGGCTACAAGGCTGCCCGCAGCCTCTGCAGCACTGGTTCAATCCCTGGCCGCTGGCGAGGGTCCCACAAAGCGCGCAGGCCTCTCCTGCCACCCGCTGCTCCCCTCAGCAGTGTGTTTCGTCAGTCTACCTGTTCTATTCCCCACTCTGGTTCTGGTGAATTCTCTCACCCTCCTGCACTTCTGACTGTATCCAGTGCTTGTATAAATAAATAAATATTTAAAAAAAAAAGCACAGTATTTTGAAAAAAAATAATTTTTTTATGAGATAAAACTGAGGATTGAAATCATTTAAAGGAAGTATACATGACTGGTTCTTTGAATCTAGGTTCCATAATCTCTCCATAATGGTACTAGAATCCTCTCTCCAGAGCAGGAATTTCAATCATAGCCCCTGAGCAGAAGTTACTACTAATGAGAAAATGGAAATAGAGTATCAGTATAATAATTTATAAAAAATAATGTGAATAACATTGTGGAAAGCAATGAAATATATTTATGAAGCTGAGGATTTTAATGAATTTAATTATGTTACTTAAAAAAAAGACCTTAGAGAATGAACTATTAATAGTTTGTTCTAATCATTCTGTACATTAGGAATTAAAACCTAGAGATTAAAATACTTTCTAGAGGTCAACTGCTAAGAAACTGTGTAATCAGGAATATAAACCAGACAAAACCAATGCTTTGAACTAGGTCAGGTTGTACTGCTGAACTGGTAGCGTATGACCTAGGGTTTGTTAAATGTCTGCTGTGTAGCTTTGGGCAGTTTCCTAAAATGTCTTTGCTTCAATTTCATCATCTGTGAACTAGAAATGGTAACAATTGCACTTTCCTCTCCAGAGTGTTTCAAGGATACGTGAGTAATTACATAGATAATATTCTTATTACATATTAATTATTCAGTAAATGATATTATTTGAAATGGCAATCCATGCATTTCATATAGAAATAAAAATCATCTTGTTCCAAAAATAAATTCACATCCAACTATATACTTACATTCCAAATTTATCGTAAGAACTTATGATTACCACCTTTTTCTGATGTCATCAATGTGGAAGACTTAAATATTCCTAGTACTTGCAGTTTTCACATCTGTAGATATTTTAGGTAATTTGTAAAACCTCTCTTTCCCAGAACATTAATTGATATGCTTGCATCAAAAACTGGCAATGAGGGCCTCCCCAGTGGCGCAGCGGTTGAGTGCTGGGTTGCAAAGCTGCCCGCAGCCTCTGCAGTGCCGGTTCAATTCCCAGCTGCTCCCCGGCCACCTGAAGAGGGTCCCACATGGCACGCAGACCTCTCCTGCCGCCCGCTGCTCCGCTCAGCAGTGTACTTCGGTCCTTCTGCCTGCTCTGCTCCCCGCTCTGGCTCTGGTGAATTCGCTCACCCTCCCGCACTTCTGACTCTACCTAGTGCTTGTATAAATAAATAAAAATAAATCTTTAAAAAAAAAAAAAGAAACTGTCAATGAAAAGAATAGAATTGCAGCCAAATTTAGTAACAGGGCCTCCCTGGTGGCGCAGGGGGTTGAGCGCAGCACTCCGAAGCTGTCCATAGCCTTTGTGGTATGAGTTCAATACTCGGCCAACCAGGGAGATACCCACAGGATAGGCAGACCTCTCCTCTCTTGCCTGCTACTCCCCCTCAGCAGTGTGTTTCGGTACATCTGCCTGTTCTGCTCCCTGCTCTCTCTGGTGAATCTTCTCACTCCCTCACAACTCTGGCCTGTACCCCAGTTCTAAAAAAAAAAAAAAAATAACATAGCCATCAGTTTGGATCCCATATTAACTTATTTTTCTATAATAATTGGAGGTTGTTAATAGATAATATTAGACAAATTAAGAAGTGGGCAAACTATCACCTGCAAGTTATCCAGCTCACTGCTTGTATATGCAAATAAAATTTTATTGGTAATAGTCACAAACATACTCATTTATGTATTGCCTATGGCTGATTTTGTGCTACCATGGCAGGGTTGAGTATTTGTGTGACAGACCACATGGGGCACATGTCCTAAACTATTTGCTATCTGATCTTTTCCAGGAAGTTTGATAATTCCTGATATCATCTCATAAAGCAAACCCGCACATACAAGTTCACTCCTGTTGTATCCCCTATGTAACTACGAAAGGGACACATCACTATTATATCTATTCTAACCCTACAAGGGTAAGTTGATATGCCACAAATACTTTCAGGAAATTAATTTTAGTACTTATCACAAGCTAAGTAGTATGTAACTAAATTGAATAATAAATATATATAAGCATTACTATGCTTTAAGTGATATAAACTAGAGGAATATATATGTATGGATGTTAATATATGATTTATGTTATATAACCAGTTTTACTATGTAATGATATAGTTATACAGATTATATGGAGAATTAATCATTTCAATAAGCTAAACTGTTGAATTACCACAGTAATACAGAGAATTAGATTGACTTTTAGTTTATATATCCACAATATGGAACCGTTTTCATGAGATTTGGAGCATGGAGGAAAGTTTTTAGAATATATGAAGATTACATATTGGGTAGAAATTTATTCTGAGACACAAATTAAAGTATTTATCTGAACAGTACAGTGTAACCTGCTAGGATGTGCCCACAGATACAATTAGAAATTTGACTCTTGGTAGTACTTAATGGTCTCATATGTCAGGCTATAGCATTCAGAATTTTTCTCCTGGGAGTTGTTGGCTGTGAATGATTTTTAGAAAGGGAGCTGTGTATTATTTAAAATTTAATTTAAAGTAAAATAAGACTGCAGTTAACAGCATTTTTCATTTGAAATACCAATAATTAAAATAATATCAAGCAATGCTATTAAGCAATGCTATGTTTTGAATTCATATATTTTGTAGCAGTGTGATTATATTCTGTGGTATAGCATTACATTCTTTCTGTCAGTGACTTCACTAGGAAATTTAAGTTATTTTCACTATCAGGTTTAAATTATTATTTTGCTGCAATTCTGACTTTTTTTGGAGAATTAACTCAATTAGTATAAAGATCTTTCAATTCTCAGGCTATAAAATTATGTTCTTTGGTTTAGTTATTAATCACTGAAATCCAGATAGTTAATATTCATCTATAAAAAACTTATCAAACTGCTTACTATTTGCTATTTTTTAAAAATAGCTTTATAAAACTTACACTAAGCTGATATTTAAGTGAAAAGTCTTGGTGCTCTTATTTATTTTGTATGAAAAGGTACTAATTCTCTATCTTCACCTTTTGGTCTAATTCTTTTCTTCACGTTTGGTATACATAAAACAATACACTCAATGAAATAAAATTATTTTCTAGATCTTTTATAGTGCAATATTTTCCTTGATTTTACTTATTCAATTAATTTGGAAATGATGCAAATGATATCCCTCTAAATAACTTTTATTCTTGTTTCATAAAATCTACATCTATAAGAATTCCACAACTATAATGAAAAGATATCTTTGTAATTCAAGGAGTTAAATTTTATTTCATGAATCAAAAAAAATTTTAGTCACTATCTAGTCATCTTACTGAACTCTATCTAGCCCTATATACTGAATATCCTATTCCACTTTTAATTATCTACTTAATATAAAGATCAAACTCAATTTGTCTAAGTCAGTTTTGTTCATCCCCAATCCCTATTCACCCACATTTTTTTCCCATCAGAGTTGATAACTATAATTTTCTTTCTTTACTTAAGGGACTTTGTACTTTTCTCTGTTTTATACTCCATATTCAATCAATAGCAATTCAGATTAATCTAACTTTGGAATTTATATAAAAGTCAAAGTGTCACACATCTGATGTCATAATGATGAACCAAGCCACCTTCATCACTTATCTGAATAATTGAAATAATCTTCAATTACGAATAACTATTCCTACACTTAATGCTTGATATTTGTTTTCAAACCAATTTCCATAGAATTGATTTTAAAACCAAGATGATATCTCATTCTCTTCAAAATAATAGTGGGGTAACAAATACATAGAAAGGATTATACATCATGATCAAATTTGGACATAATTTTGTTACGTACGTATTAAAGCTAACAAGTTTGGCAGAAAACAAACTTGGATCTTTTAACTGTGTCCTTTAACTTTTTGAGTTTCTAATCACATTAAGAATTCAAATTTCTTTTAAAATTGTAGGTACCCAATTTACAAGCTTCAAAGTACATCTTTTGATGCACTGATATGTGATACCTTACAATTTCAGATTTACTTTGAATACAAGCAACATCATACAATAAAACTGGAAATATTGAGTTTAAAAATTGCTAATGTTAATACTTGAATGGACTTCTCGGACAAATGGAAAATATAGGTATTAAAAACTGTGTTTAGAAAACTTGTTGATAATAGGATTTGATACAGTAGACTGGGAGAAGTAGATTGCTTCTGTTGTGATACTTCTGAGCTATTAAAATAAAAATTTTAGTAGCTACAAAATAGGATTACTTTGAATTCAAAAGGCATGGTCAGAGAAGGCATAGATGAACTATAAAATCATAAAATCAGATAATTCCAGAATGTTAATTTCCTTTTCTATATTAGAATGACTTGCTATATACTAAAGAAAACTTTTTCCAGTATATGGTTTGATAAATACTTTAATAGAATGATCTTTACCTTAAAATCTTATTTACTTTAAAAATTCCAAAACAAATTTTAATTATATTAATGCGAATGATGATAGTGAGATAAGATAAAAACCATGCAGGATCCAGAAAACTTGTTTATTAGGTAAAACGTTGATTGAGATATTTTTGCCAGGCTATTGGTTATAGAAAACTATTATTCTTCTGATATTTTAATGAGGAATACAACAGATAAGAATCCCTACATTCTACAAATCAAAAACCATCTTTGCACCTCAGTTAAGCTGAGCTCTTTAAGGTTAATCAAATATCTTTAAATATTTCTCCATAATAAAGAGATACTTGATTCAACTTCAGTTAGCTTTCCTTTGAGAAATGACTAAGAAATCAAAAATCCAGTACTCAGCACCAATATATGGTTTAGGTAAAGAAAAAGAAAAAATGTAAAAAAATTCCATTCAGCTGGTCAAGGATTTCCCATTTCAAAGGTAATTTGTTCTTTCAGGACTATCAGCAATATGACTTTTTTCATACCCAATAGTTTTATCTTTGACTCAGCAATCTGTTTATAAGCTGTTTGCACAAATTCTGCTCATTAGAACAAAGTGTTTCTAGATTTCTAGTGGGAAGTAGTTTATTTTCTTAGCTACTAAATATTACCCTGAATCATGATTTAAACACCGATAATGATAACTGTACTGATTTTGTGTTAATTTTCTTTTAAGTTTTTACATTCTTCTAATAATATTAAATTTTTCAAAATGATGTTGCAGTTTATAAATGATATCAGCTTTTCAAATTATCTGTTCTTTTTGTGATATAAATATTGCAGATATAAAATCTGAATCATACCATACACTTTTAGAATTCATTAAGCATTCTTTGAAAATGATACCCTCTTATTATAGTGTATATTCAAATCTTATGTTGACTCACTGCTTTTTTTTAAGCCATCTAGAAGGCCACGCAGAAATAATCATTATTTCTCCAATGTTTGCTTTTCTGTTCGTATGTGTTCCTATCTTGACAGCCCATAATTCATTAGATGGTAGAATTTTTAAATATTCCTAGTAAGTTTTTCTTCACCCTATATTTGTGCATGCTGTTGTCACTTTAGAGTGCTGTTCTTGAGTATTATGTCACTTCTGCTGGGTGCTATTCAGCATTTGTCATTCCTTCTGTCAGCCTAAAGGTAATATTCCTTGGAGGCATGTAAAATAACAAAAGCTCTTGGTTTACATCAACATTTGACAAAGAATCTCTTATTTTTCGAAGCACTTTTGCCCAGAGACAGATAAAGTGGATTTATTGAATATTTATTTTGAGACTATGGGGATTGAAAATAAAATGTAAATTCCTTGCAAAGCATTGCCAAAATAGAACTACACTTTCAGGGTGTTTCTAATGCTACAAAGAGGATATCATATGCAATGGGGTTGGCATTTCTACGTTTGGAAATATAGTGTTTAAAGGTTTCTTTGAAAAGTCAGCATTAGTATTATAAATACAAAAATAGATCCAAACAGTATAACACTAATGGTGGATTTTAAAATAATCTAGAATAAGATTTCTCATGTAAAAATGAGTTGTTCTGAATGCATAAATATTTAATGTTCAGTTAATTTATGGTTCCATCAACTCTAATATAATTTAAAAATTCAAAAATTTAGTTTTAAATAATCCCATAATTTTAAAGGAGTCAAATTTTAATAGAAATTAACTTTTCCTCTCTTAGTGTACAATAAATATATGTATTATTTCAGCTTTTTTACAACAATCAGGCCCATATTAGCAATTCTGCACATGGGAATAAATTAATACTATGTTGGTTGATGAAAATCATCTTTTTTTATAATTATATCTCTAGTTTTAGCTAAAAATATGCACTTGCTTACTAACTTATTAGAGACATACATGTGTTTATATATGAGTGTTTTAAAACCAGGACATCTGAGTTTATATTTCTGATAAGTTGTACAATCAAAATATATAGGATGCTTCTATATAGATTCTCAAGAGGAGCTTTAAACATAAGTGTCCAAAACAGAGCACTTTTTAAACATTAAGAAGGGTCCAATATTCTAATTTTAATCTTGGAGAAAGATATAAGTATCCACTCGTATATCCAAGCCTAAAACATATATGTAACCTAAACACCTCCTTATTCATTCTTAATTCTTACCCCTTCCCATTTGTTCAACCAGGTTTTATTACTTAGCTTTATTAACTATAAATGTCATGTTTGAAATACACATTTACTGGTACAAAATTCTAGTCTGGAAGTTTTATTTTTCTTTCCAATACTTAAATATAGTGTTTCATTTTTTTTTTTAATCTGTTGACACCAATGAGAAGTCTGCCATAATTCTTATCTACTGTCCTCTTACAGAATGTGTCTTTAACTTCCAACTGTTTTTATGTTTGTTTTTGGTTTTTTTTTGTTGTTTATAATGGGTTGTGAGCAGTTTGATTGTGATGACCTCGGTGTTTTTTCCTTATTGTTGGTTTTACTTGAGGGGTATTGAGCTCCCTGTCTTTATGGGCTCAGTTTTTCATCAAATTGT